AGTCTTGATTTTACTTTATTTGAAGCTCGTGCATGTGGGTTTATTGACCATCAAAGAAGATTCTTCTCGGGAATGCAGACCAGCTAGATGTAATTAAGCCCCTATTAAAATGTCTTCTATTTTCTGTAAATACGGTAGGATGCTTTCAGTAGACTTAAATGTGGAAGACCTTTTGTGTTCCTCATGCAAAATATCACGGTTGTATCGGGCCCTTTTCTTCCAAAACATCATGTTTCAGTCCCCTTCGATCACGCCAATGATGGAATTCCCAATAGCTTGTTTCAAACTAAAAAATTGTTTAAATTGCGAGCATATAAATATGTATTCCTTTTGATAAGAAAATATATAGTAGAATCACATTTCAGCCTCTGAGTCAAATCGCGTAATAATTGTATAGGGCCTACAATCATATATAATTTGTATTTTAAGGCGCCAATATCAACAGATAATTGAACCTAACAACGATAAGAACAACAACCACTATAAAACTGATGCCTTTTCTCACGTACGAACAAATTGCACCCTTCTTAGACTAAACAAGAATAGAGGCAAGAACCAAAAGGTTTTATGGAACAAAGATATGATACTAATAGGTACGACCCCAAGGAATGGGGATCGTCTAAACAAATACAGGAAGCACTAGAAGTAGCCATCTTCTAGGTCGTATGGTCATTCACATTTCCTTGTCAAATGCGTATAGAAGAGCTTCTGTTTGTTTTGTTTTGTTACTTTATCGAGATGTTTCAAGCTTCTGGTGAGAAACGGAAGAGAGCGTTAATTTAGGCCCAAGTCACACCGACAAGACTGGCTTCAAACCGATAACAAACCGATAACAAACCAATGTAAAATTACGTCACAATTTTTTCGGTCCATTCGGAGAGGGTTTGGCGTTGTGACTAAGGTTTAGTTATGATGCCTCGAGTTAACGCTCGTCTAGTTCCCAGCTCGCATGATAATATCTTGGGATTTCCCCTGCAAAGGTCTATCTCGCCTAAGAACTAAGACATTGGGACTTCACATTGAAATGTCTACCTTGCCTCGAGTTAACGCCCTCATGGCTCTATTGGCCTCATCAGCCCACTGATCAGCCGAAGGCGAAGCACCGAGACAATAGGACTTCACACGCAATATGTAGACTCGTTTCTTCCTTTCTCTCCGGACCTCCTTGAGTATACTCCTCGGAGGAGAAATCGATGGAAAGGAAGGTTATAACACTTATGCTTCTCCAAGTAAGGTCTACGTATTCTTCAGACTCGGCTCTCACCCATGTTACCATGGACACAGTAAGATGAAGGGAGAGAAGCCGGTGGTCATGATGGTAGGGACAAGGAATGAGATGAGAGAAAATATAGTTCGTTTATTGAATGAGAATGATAATGAAAATCCCATTTCGGGTAAAGAATACGAAGAATAAAAGGAGGGAAAAGAAGTAGAACAACAACAACAACAACAACAACAACAAAAGAAGATGAAAGCCTGTTGTCGTTCTTGTGTAGGTTTCATTGGCTTGGGCCTCAATATTTGATAACCGTATAGATCCATATAGGTTTCGAGCGAAAGGTATACCCCCCCCCCCCATGCGCACCCCAATGAGAGAACAAAGCGAGTGAGATTTTAACAAATGGTGTATCTTCTACCAACACTTGATTTCTCATGATTTATTTATTTATTATTTATTTCTGATATTTAGACAGGGTGTTTTTATTATCACCAATAATGGTGGTCTTTCATGAGGCCCTGTTAAATATAATAAGGAACAAAAAAAAAAAAAAAAAAAACTGAAAAACAATAATAATAACAAAATCATGAACTTAAACTCATAACAGCAACAAAGAATAAGTGAGAACATGTATCAACATAATTATATACAATTGAATGAGTTGTTACCAATATCTGTTAATAATACACCAATTCATTGTTCCAAGACAGTTCGTAATCTCGGAGTTATTCTGGACAACCATCTGTCTCTGCGCAGCCACATTAATACTGTGTGCCGCAATGCATCATTTGCTCTTAGAAGAATAGGCAAAGTCCGCAGATTTTTGAATAAAGCTTCAACTGAAATTCTCATTCACTCTTTTGTATCCTCACGTCTGGACAACTGTAATAGTCTCCTCATTGGTATTTGTGATAAAGATATGAACAAGTTACAACGAATTCAAAACTCTGCTGCACGTCTGGTTTCCCTGCAAAAGAAATGTCAACACATAACACCCATCCTCAAAGATTTACATTGGCTCCCAGTTAAATTCCGTATTCAGTTCAAAATTATTTTGCTAACCTTCAAATCACTCAATGGTCTGTCTCCAGAATACCTCTCTGATCTTGTCTTACAATATGTTTCATCAAAGTCTTTGCGTTCTGCATCTCAAAACCTCCTCGTAGCTAAGAGAGGCAGAACAAAAGCATATGGTGATAGGGCTTTCACTCATCTAGCACCATTTCTATGGAATTCCCTCCCAAACTCATTACGTTGTATATCCAATATTGAAACATTCATATCTGAACTAAAAACTCATCTCTTCAAATTAGCACATCAATAGTATTTAAGGATAAGTAATGTTATAATTTTTCTTTTTGTAAGCACTTTTTGTTTCATCTTCCTTTTATGATCGTGTTATACTTTAAATAATTATGTATATTGTACAATTGTAAAGCGCATTGAAATGTCAACAGACATGAAATGCGCTATAAAAGAACAGATTATTATTATTATACAAAGTATTTGGTTTCCTCGAATGAATGGTTTGTTTGTTTTGCATTTTTTCGTTCAAGAAAACGTTGTTGCATATTTATAATATCTTAATATAACATTATAGTATAGACTGTAATTAGTTTCTAAATCCGATGAGAAGTAACTATTAGCATATTTTGGTATGTATTAGACTAAGTTGAAAAAAGGCAACATGTACCTTTGAAAGTTCATAAACAAAGTGTAGAGACTACAGGGTCAGGTGAGAGAGAAATTAGGGATACTGACATTGTTATATACATATTTACAAACAAAATAAAAACATTACAGGATAGTATAATATGCAAAACCATTGCATGTAATCTTCTATAGCAATTGAAAGTACACTCTTAAATAGCAGTCAAAATAAAAATGTATATATAACTGATAATAAATTAAATGAAACCATTATTTTCAGTTTTCAGTGATCATCATATTTCATTGTTGTGTTTTATCTTTATCGTTATATCATGTACTTCTAAAAAGCAATAACAAAACAATATATTAATGATAGGCACAACAATATGAGTGCAATAGATAATGGTCGAGATAATTTAAGAAACTGAATGCTGATTTCAATAATGATGAAAAAGACTTTCAATGGATATCCTTATAAACACCGTGTAGTGTGTTAACAAAAAAAGTTTTGCTTTGTTTTCTTAATGTATTTGGGAAACGAATGTTCACGACACAGCATAGAACTTATTTATAATTTGAACCATGGAGAAATTGTTAACCAATGCTTTTTTTTCCTTGAATACTTTGGAATCCCTATGAATTCCAACTTTTGCTTTAAAAAATATGAATAAACATGTTATGAAACAACACTGTGGACCAATTTACGTATATTTCAATGCCCTGTGGTCCTATTTGCAAAGATTTTGTCACGATTACTAAATCCTAAGATATACCACTTTAATTCTTTCAGAAGGTTTTTCAAAGCATTGTTGAATTTGTTTTGTATAGGGCCTCTTCTTAACACCATAAAGAAGCTCTTTCCCGTATGAATTGGAGAGATTGCGGCCTTTACAAGGAGATCAGTTTAAGGACGTGCTTTACTTCTATAATCTCTTTGCTTGGTCTTAGGGACGCCCCTAACAACGTATATACAAGAGGGTTCTACCACATACTCGCTCCGGCGATGTTTAATCCGTGCTTTATTCACAACACTATAAGGAAAGTCATAGTTTCAGCCTCGGACCCGTTTGCATTTCTAACCAGAATGCTACAACTTTGACGAAATAAAACGAAAAAATGTACAATAATAACGATAATAGATTGTATGCCGTGTCATATGTGTTTCCAAAGATGTTACCATTCAATGATTATACACTGGCTTCATCACATTAACGCACCGGGGATGAGGGTGGCAAACATGGATTAATGTCTTTCCAAAAGAAGTGAGTGCCGGGCCGGGATTTGAACCCTCAACCCTTAGATTGAGAGTCAAGTGAATGAACCACTACACCACGACACTTACAATGTCGCAATTGTCACGATAGAAGGGGGAGTATTTTGTCGGATCAGCATAAGTAGGGTATTTCTTGTTTTTATCCCTTGTGAAAAGGAATTATTCGTCAAAATTTAAATCGTATTACCCTATAAATGGCACCAAATGGTTATGTAAGGGGATTTCTAAAAAATAAACAAAAACATAAAGACACTCGCAAAACCTTCTCAAATAAACAGACATATGGCCGTAATATAGCTTTGTGTTGGTGTTTGGATCTCGGCTGTTTATGGCAAGTATTATAGGCTTATCTTATCTTATGAATAGAAGGTTGCCAATTATTCAAACACGTCAAATGTAATAGTAATGTTCTTTCAAATCTACAAGCATTGTATATTACCATTTAAAAAAAAACTGTGATCACTGTTCGTAAACTACATCCTTACAAAGGTTGATTTAAATGTAGCCTTTGTCTTTTGATAAGCAAACTTGTAGAATCTCAAACATGGAACAAACTAAAAGTGTAGGCCTAAATTTTGCCAGAATGAGTACATCGAGTAATGATGTGACATGAACATTGGAAAGATCTTCTTACTAAAGACTCTCAATCCGAAATTTATACAGACTAACTGCAATTCGTCGAAAAAGCTGCACTTAAAACCTCGCATCATATTGTCTTCATAACAAACAAAGGTGACCGCATTGTGTCTACTTTATTAACATTTGTAAGGGGGAGAGTGAGCAGAAAACAAACCCAGAACTATTGAGCCCATATGTAAGCTGTATTGAGAGGGGTGGGGTACATCTCGTCAGATGCATTGATGCAGTCACTTTGGTAGCAGAGTGAGAAAAACCCACGTACTGTTTATATTCACAGATTCTCAAGCAGGCGATGTTGTGCGCTGCGTGCCATAGCAGACTACACGCGAAGGACTCTCCGTCATACCGTTTGTCTATCACCGTCTCGATAGGAATGGAATGGAATACTTCAAGATGAATATCTGTCATCAAATATCTCTGTCGACACGTGATGTTGTTTGGAGTCATACCCAGATATAAACGGATGGGACTGAACTTGATGTAAACACAGCTGAGTTACGGGTCTTCATTTATTTATTTACATCGCAGTATATAGCACAACATATACGTCGGGTAAGTGCTTTTCTTTGTCGTACAATGATTTCTGTAACAGATCAGAATCTTGGAAACAAACCATCAAAAAATGCTAGTAAGTGCAACCTCCTAGTCATGCTAGTATATTCAGAATAACATTTTATCCTGTATCCGTTCCTTTTCATAGTGTTGTATATTTTTCATACACCTCTTTATATATTTTTATTGAGACGAGTTTTTGCTTCTGAAAATTTGCGCATAATACCTTTGAGACACACTTTTCTGTCAAAAGTTCTTCAAGCATGAGCTAGGACTCGAGCGAGGAGGGGGACGAGGGGAAGGAGGAGGCTATGGAGAGAAAGAAGAAGAAGGAGGAAGAGAATGTGCTGTTTTAGAAAGGCAACATTGTCTTATGAAATATATCGTATCGTATTGTCTGATTTCTGTCGCAATCATCGTGTCAGCGTAGTCGATATTCCTGAGTTTCATTTTGTTTAAAAAAGTTGTAAAGTAAGTTTTTTGCTTTTGATGCACAAAAACAAGAAAAGGACTTGATGCAAGGGAGAAAAAGCAATGTTTCCGAAAAGTAACAACTTTTTTTGCAGCTCTGCATTGAGGTTAAACCGCAGGCTATACGAGCCAATGACCCGTAAATACAGCTAGGATAGGTTACTTGCTAGAAGACATTCCCGCATCGTTGAGTCATTGCACGCTAGAGTTCAATGTTCCATGCTCAAAGATGAAGTCATTCCTCTTGTAAACAAACTACACCATTTATGAAATAGTACAGATTGTATCACAACGATATTTGTAAGGTAATTCGTGAGCATTCCTGTCAGTTTAAGGGGCAGTATGTAGGCTGAAAAAAAACTAACAACATGTTATGATTATGAGATCGACAATGAATTTAATTAATCAAAATGAAATATCCATAATAATCATATACTAGTAATCAATATGTCATATATGTCATATTAACAATTTTAAAAAAATGTGTGTGTGTGTGGGGGGGGGGGGGGTGTGCCCTTCTGCACCCCCGTCATTTGGACACGCCTGTCTGTTGTTTGCACTGATTCTCAGTCTGGATAGGAGAGTGTAGCAGTTTTTTTTGAACTTATTAATATTATCATGATTCTATTCGACACAAACGACGTGTATTTTAATGGATTCTTTTTCTGCTAAAAATAAGGTGTAAAACTCACAGTTTGTGATTTAATTGTCAGAACTGTATATCATATCTCTAAAGAGGGGAGCGGGGGGGGGGGGGGGGGGCAGTGTCCGGCTTATGAGAAGAGGAGGGGGGGGGGGGGTAGGAGAAAATTGTCCACATATATCTATAACCCACATGTGTACAGCTCATACCTTTCGCTATGTGTGATATCACTAAAGATAAAACAAACTTCTGCTTGAAGTAGGCGAGGATAATATCTGCAAATGCTTGGATATTTTTAGACAGAGAAGATGAAATTGATAGCATTGACTAACCAAAGGACATGGCCTGAAATATACGGTTTTATTCTAGACTGTTAGAAAAGTGCGCAGAGTTCGGAACAATAATTTGGGGGGGGGGGGGTGATAAATTAGAATGTTAATTGAATCAACTAGTTGCTTTCTTATACCGTAAACTATTTATTGTCAGAATAAAAGATGCATTCTGTTCGAATGGTAGATGGATTAGGGATAACAGAGGACCACTCAGGGGCCAGATGGGTGACTGTGGAAAAAGGGGGTAAAGAAAAGGGGAGGGGTGAACCTGAACGCCCCATGCGCGCCTCCTCGACTTGGCAGTGTTGCCTTTCTATTGCCCGGGGCAAGGTGATAAACTTACTGACCATTTGATCATAATAGTGACCGCAAACCCTGGAAATCACTGACCAGTTACGGTCTGTTAGTTTTCATTCACCCAAATTAAATGAAGAAATATTAATAATTACCGTGATGATATTATTAAAATATTGATCGAAAAGTAGAGGTAGCAGCGTCTAGGTGGGTCTAAAACGAGTGTATACGTTTTGAAATTAGAATTAAGCTATGCCATGTTGAGTTTTAAAAGGGCCTCGGAATTGCCGTGCCCCTTAAATTTGGATCTGGGATGGGGTGAGCCCTACCGTTCTATGCGCTTCTCCTTAGTTTGGTATTGGTCAGAAGCCCAGGGCAAGGTGATAATCTTACTGACCGTTTGGTAATGATAGTGACCGCGAACCCCTTAAATCACTGACCAGTTCTAATTATTATCTTACTACGGTCAGTTGGTTCTCATTCACCCATAATGTCCAGACATCGCCAGTTAACCGTTGAAAATTGAGATACTTATTGACTTTTAGAATATTAATAACTGTCAATTTCTTAATTGAATGGGCGCAATTATAAGAGTTTCAACTGAATAAATTGTTAAAGCTATATTTAGATTAAATTTTGAATCAGTGGGATTTACAGTGTTCCTATTTATGTTGATTGTTTTCTACGCTTGTCTGTTTTTTCATTATGGTTTTTTAGCAAAACGTACTTAAGCCAGACTGAGGAAAGCGAATGGATTTCACAGAAAATGAAAGCTCCACCAAACAAATTCGATAAAATGATAAAACTTTCTTCATTATATTCGCGAAAACTGTTTCATTATTTAATGGACAAATTGTTTTATACTCCGTAAACCATTCGTACACAATAATTGTTTGTAGTAGGCTTACATCTACTTTAAAGTTACTGTGCAAGAATAAAATTAAATCTATTTTTTTCATTTCCCCATGACATGTGCTTTGAGAATATTGTTTTTGCTATGCATGTTTTTTGTTGCCTATACCAGTATTTCATAGAGTATTATGACACGTGCTTCTGAATCTATACCAGTGAAATAGTTGTAATTCAATGCTCCGTAACATCTTTGAACGAAACCCAAATGATTAAAGAGAAGGTCGAGCTTTCGGAAAGGTGGAAAATAATATATGTGAACGTTCGTCTGGAAAAGTATCATAACAAAAATGTCCATTGAAGGGATGGCTCTTCAAATGCTCTTATATTTGAAATTAGACAAGAAAATGGGAAAATGTTTTGACCAAATGTTCATGCCTCTTGTTTGTGTAGTCCCATACATATATTTTAATTTCAGTGCACTTGACTATGCAGCAAGATGGAGTAAGCATCTATCATTGTGATGGTTCCTAAACCTCATAGCAATACACGAATACCTACGTGCTACCTTTTCCAATAGACCTCTTGACTAATTTGATTCATAATTAAAACAAAAAGTTATCTAAAGAAGTAAAAATTTTGCCAGAGGCTTTCCCGACATAACACAACCAATGTTTTGAAAGTGGATTCTATCCGTAGAGATGCCTTTATCCGTAGCAGGTGAATATAATGGCAGGTAACCAGGGGTAAGAAAGAGAGAGAGAGAGAGGGAGAGAGAGAAAGAGAGAGAGAGAGAGAGAGAGAGAGAGAGAGAGAGAGAAGAGAGGAACATGCATGACTGAAATACACGAGTGAAGAGGTCCACTGCTTCCAGACAGTTTTGTTTTTTTAAAATGCAATCGCATGACGAGAACCCACCTTCATCTTGATATGCAATGCATCACTCATCGACTCATACGGCACGCACTAGGCGTGAGTGAGGAGCCTGGAAGCTAGGAGGCAGTGATTTATGATCACCCATACATCAAATGAAAGTGATAGCAGACAAGTTGGCATAAGATGGGAGAGGGGGGGGGGGCACGTGAGAGGCTTTCCGGACTTGTGCCCCACCCTCGCAAGAGATAATAGATTCATGATGCCTTATACATCTAATGAAAGGGGTAGCAGACGACGCATCAATGGAGGGGTGGGAGGGGGGGGGGGCAGGAAAAAAATATACGGGGGCTTGGGGCGAATTAGCCCCCGAAAGTCATAAAAGAGCCCCCGAAAATGTGTATAGAGTTCAATGTAAATTAAAGAGTGTTATTTTCATGCAAACAAGCTTGAAAAGTATCCCCGAAGTTTTTTAAATATTTTTGTCCCGGATTGGAGGGGGGGGGGGGGGGGGTAACGTGTTTTTGGTTACTTCAGCCCCCCTCCCACCCGTAAGAATGATACCGGAAACTCCATTGGATTGTTTTATACATATATGTAGGTGTGTAGAAGGGAAACATTGTAAGGGTCAATCGTGCTGTTCCAGACATCGTTTTGAGCGACGGTATGACTTGAAACGGGATTCAAATCAGGATTGTTTCAGATCATGTGTAGTGAACGCATGTCATCAGAAGTGCTCTTTCAGACATTTTTAAATCGTCTGTCGATAGTATGGTTTCAAATATGATTATAATTAGCTTAATGGAAATACAAAGTTTTGGTATGGGGTCATGAATTTTGTTCAAATGAACATATTGGAAGAATGTGCGATCTTACAATATTCAGTAATCGTTGTCGCGGTTGAAATCGAGTCTAAATTTATGAAATTTTAAATAATAAACTCTGTATGATGTATAGCTCTCTCTCAAAATCAAGATATTAATTAAGCTATAAAACAATGTTTTTAGACTAAAATCGACCAATTAGCTATTCCCGTTTGGAAATCAAATATCACAACTACATATTCTGAGATTTTCATGGTCGCAGCTACAATTGTACGGCCGTAGGCAGTATTTGAAATTTATCAAATTTTACCGGGAGCACCGGTAAATTTTTATATTCAATTTTCTCAAAAGCAGAAGTGTTTTAGGGGCTAAATTTTCTAGAGCTTATTCTACATCCACAGGGGCACCCAAATATATCAAAATTGTAAAGATTCACTATCCACCCAATTTTCAAAATTTCCCAAAACTTTGTATTACCTTTAATGAAAATGTACCTTGGAAATACACCTTGGAAGTAGGCATTTAAAGCTAAAAAATCATTTGCCTCTCGTTTAAATTAGGATGATATTAATGCTTTAGTATCGCTTCTCGAGTGATGAAATGACTTGACGCATTATTAGAATCAGACTTTTACTGTTTTACGTATCGTATTCCAAAAGACCGTATGACTCGAAACGTGGATTATAATAATGGTATTACTTAAGTGTCGTCTCC